TCCCTAAGGTTTCTAGTCCTTCAAGGCTCCCAAGATTATTTTGTGCATTTCTTTACCCAGTCCTGAAATCAGCCAGCTCTTTAAGATGGTCTGATGGGAAATTATTTAGAAGCTACATGTTAGATCTCAGAATAATCACTATTATCAAGTTGTCATTACTTCTAGGCTTTACAGTGGCCAGAGGAGGAAGTACACATTTTCCTTAAAAAATAAAATAAAAAAAAATATAATTAATTGGTACAAACTTATGATTTCAGTTCAAGATTTAAGACAGCAGGGTTTTAATTAAACTTCTTTATGTTATGTGTAACCCTCTTTTTCTAGCCACTGAAAGGCTTACTTCAGAGCATTAGTTTTAATTATTGACTTGTTTTACCTGTTAACATACATACCATTCTGTCATAATAACAGAAGCAATATCAGGAACAATAAGTTGTTGCATATAGTTTCAGATTTCTTTCCTTTTATTCTTTTGGTTTTGTTTGGTTTTGTTTTAGATGGGCAGTATTTTTGTTTTTCCTTAGAAGATATTCCACTCTGAATGTAGAGACATAATTCTGAATTTTAAAGCTACTTAAGTAATATGTTGTTACAAGCAGCTACTCACCAACTTGATGCAATTAGATTTATCAGTTTTGTTCTCAGTTTGTTCAGTTCAGTTCAGTCACTTAGTTGAGTCCGTCTCTTTGCAATGCCATGGACTACAGCATGCCAGGTTTCCCTATCCATCACCAACTCTCAGAGCTTGTTCAAGCTCATGTTCATCGAGTTGGTGATGCCATCCAACCGTCTCATCCTCTGTCTTCCCCTTCTCCTCCTGCCTTCAATCGTTCCTTACATCAGGGTTTTTTCCAATGAGTCAGTTCTTCCCATCAGGTAGGCAAATATTTGGAGCTTCCACTTCAGTATCAATCCTTCCAGTGAATATTCAGGACTGATTTCCTTTAGGAGGGACTGGTTTGATCTCCTTGCCATCCAAGGGACTCTCAAGAGTCTTCTCCAACACCATAGTTCAAAGGACATATACGTGTGTCATTTGTCAGTGATGTCATATTCCCCCTGTTGGGATTTAACCACCAAAACTGAATTTAAATAATATGCAGAGGATTAAGACACAGTGCCCCATCTATACACATGTGGCAACCAGGAGAGGCTCCTGTTGCATTCAAGGGACAGGCATGGATAGATCTCATGCAAGAATAGGCCCTGGGAGTCCTTGAGTCATTAAACATGATTGTCTTTACTTTGGCTGCCACAGTTGTTTTGTCTTCTTTGATTAGGAAGACCTTTCAAAATTATTTTTTGTATGTTTGCTTTGGCAGACAAAATTTTTCACAGCATACACCCTATGGGGAAATTTTATCAGAAATATATCCATTTATGTTCAGCAGTTAAATGCATTGTTTTGTATGTCCCTGATGATCTTTCTTTATAAATAGAAAGGAAACAAACTTGTTCAGTATGCATTCAGTCTCTGTAAATCAGCCAACTTGAATTAAATTCCTCTCTGTCCCCACTGCACTCACAAGTCTAGGCCAGAAATAAAAACCTGCAGAGACTGAAGGCTGATTCCAGCACATCATTGTGGAGATTGCGTTCCCACAGTTTTCTTGGGAACAAAAATTAGTTGCTAACATTAAAATCAGTAGATTGTACATAAATATCTAACCTTCTGATTCTCTTGGAAACATGGCCAACTGGCCTGCTTTCCAGCATGGTTGAAGTGGAGGAAAGGCTGCTTCCAGTGGTCAGGCCTGTGCTGCCCAGGGTCTGGCACGGCCACCTAGTCCTACTATCATTTCTCTTGCCTCCTGGGGCCATGAGTTTGTGAGAACTAGACTGCTAGCTTGTGGAAGATAAAGATTACTTTTCTCTTGATCAACTTGGACTTTGAAGCCTTTAACCCATAACCCAGCACACACTTCTTCCTTGTACATTTGTTGAATGATATAAAATATCTTGTGGATGCATATGACATTTCTTCCAATACTGAAACTATGCAATTGAAGTACTGCTCTTCCCTAAATCTTTGATGCAGACTGGTATCATAGATGTCCCTGATCTCTGCCATTATACCCACTACCTAAGGCCAGTTGTATCTCCCTGGGCTGCCCCTGAAGTCTTCACTTTTCCATTTGACAACTTATCCTCCTAGCTATCTCCTCTCCAATGAAGAAAAAAATGCATATCTCATGAAATGGCTAGGAAGATGACACAAAACCAAGAATGTCAAGCACAGCCCCTAGTTACCATTTTCATGATGTTCTTAGCGGTTGTTCTCTAAGTAAGCAAGGTTCTCCGTCTTCTTAGATGTCCACTCAGATCAGTTAGATTTTCCAGCCAAGATTCAAGGAAGAGATTACAGTTCAGTTATCTGTATTCTGAGAAGCTTCAAAGTCCACTCGCCAAGGACACTGATGAAGGTAAAGATTTTATCAAGAGCTTTGTGTTTTGTTCAGGTCTATTAGTGGCCTAAAGGGGAAAACAAAGGCATGTCAGAGCATATATAACTATGGGCTCCTGGTCACTACTAATGCTAAGAACCTGAACTTCCCTGAGTACTTGGAGCCAGGAAAGAGCATGAAGTGGTTTGTGCTCCTTGGGCTGGTGGCCTTCTCAGAGTGCATAGTCAAGTAAGTAAGGGGACTGTAAGGTGCATCATCTTCCTCTCTCGGATTTTTCTTTTCATCTGATTCAGGTTTAGATGGGAATGGAGTATTTCCCTGACAGCCTTAAAGTTCAACTCTTACTTATTGATAAGTACTTTGCTATAGGAACTGTGGATCCCAAGGGTCTTAGTGTACATTTGCATGGTTGCACAACTCTTGGGGTCCAGTCATCTCATAACCTATTGAAAATGGAACTCCTTTCAATTGTTCAATTCACAGTCTATGCAGATGTAAGTGTGGTCCTGTGGAATAGCACTTTTCTACATTTTATGTAACATTTCCTCTTTTTCCCTGTCTACTTCAGTGGGCATATGTCTATGTCTGCATCTCTGTATCACTATCATTTATCTCTCCACCTCTTTGGAAGTCTCTGTGAGTGTATTTCTCTCTGTGTTGTTTTCTTTTAATTTTTCATTTGACTTATCCTTCCTTCTCAAGCCTCTGAATTTCCCTGAAGTTCCCTATCTCCTGTATTGTTCCTTCAACTCTTTTCTCTTTCAAACTGGAAAAATATACAGTTTTATATACACTGTTTTATATCTGATAAGCAATGAGACCACAGCCAACTCAGAAACCTCTTTCATTTCAAATTGCTCCCTTGTAAAATAGGATAAAAGTCCCCCTTCTACCCCATTCTTTGAACTTTTATGAGAAGGATACAGTGGGATGTCTACAGTAATGTTAATGGCTGTCATTGTTGAGACCTTATATCCATTACTTCACTTATCCCCAAGATATTCTATTTGGATGGTTTGAATTGTTACATTCCACCATTTCACTGACGGGGAGACTGAGACCCCACATGGTCATATGGCTTATTCCAGATTGCAGAACAGAACCTGTAATCAAACCTATGTCTTTGCCATGGTATATGCATAAAATTCTGATAATAAGGTGACTCATAAAAATGATTGGAAAATACACAGGGCCATTACAATGACAGTTATACCTCAACATTGACAGCTAATTGTAGCTTCTTTATTGTTTTCTTTGTCAAATCCTCAATGAAAGAATACCTCTAACGAGAGTGAAGACCATGAGAAAAACCGTCAGTGAAAAAAATATGCTGAACAATTTCCTGAAGGAACATGCTTACAGACTGCACCAGATTTCTTCTCCTGGCTCAAATATAACTACTCACCCCCTGAGGAACATCAAGGACGTGAGTGTTTTGGGGATGGTGTTCCACAGCGCCTCCTGGTGCTCTAGCCTAGCACAGGGTCTCACCTGGAGATGCCATGTGGGATATTGGGGTTGGGGCTCCTGCAGGAGGTGGAAATCCTAGGCAACAGGGGCCCCACCCAGAGGAGACCACACTCTCATCCTCAACTCTTGGTCTTGGTGACTGGGCCCAGCAATTATCAGGTGACAGGTAAAGATCCATTTCTGTGTCAAAGATGTGTCATTAGTTTGAGGGAGGTTGTTCCTTCTGAACTGAGTCACTCAGTTACAGATGAAGAGTGAGCCATCTCTGATCAAAAGGTAGAACCAACCAACTGCAAATCAATGTGAATCCCCAGGCAGAGAAATTCAGTTTCCACAGATGCAAAAACCACAGTAGGAAAAAGTTACTGAACCCATGTTCTGTGTATGGCCAAAAGAATCTAACACTGTGGTTACTGTTTTTAAATTAGAAAAAGGGCTTATATTGTCTTCAAGAATGCCCATGCCAGCCTGAGAGATAGGAAAAGAGTAAATACATGTCGTGAAAAGGTCACCTGTGTGGTGTTGATTGGATGTGGTCTGAGTTTAGAGGGAGTGGCTAGTGTTGATCAAGAAGGATCTCCTGGAGAAGGGGGTGCTGAGGCTGGGTTTGAAGAGACTACAGAGCTTCTCAGATGAAGGTGCCACGACTTCCCTGGGTGTCCAGGGGTCCTGGAGGTCCAGGGATTATGACTCTGGGCTTCCAATGCAGGAGGTATTGGAGTCAATATCCTGCATACCATGTAGCATAGAAAAGAAATATCAAATGCAAGCACCTCTGTGATCGAAGGCTGTGAGCTGCACAGTGGTTCGAAAGTGATCTCGAGATATGTGACACCCAAAGGGAGGCATGAGTGTGGGAATAGAGGGTAGCCACTTCTGTAATAACCCACTCCCTCCTTTTCCCTGTAGATGCTCTATGTGGGTAAAATCACCATTGGAACACCCCCTCAGGAATTCCAGGTTGTCTTTGACACAGGCTCATCTGAGTTGTGGGTGTCCTCCCTCTTTTGCCCCAGTCCAGCCTGTTGTGAGTATAGACACCCTGTACCTGGAGCATCTTTCCCTTGCCCTGACACCCTGTTTTCCACCCTTGGCCCTGATGACATTCATCTCTTGTGTCTGCAGCTACACACGTTAGGTTCAGACATCTTGAGTCTTCCACCTTCCGTCCTACCAAAAAGACCTTCAGGATCACCTATGGATCCGGGAGCATGAAGGGATTTCTTGCTTATGACACCGTCCGGGTAACGTGTAAACAGAAGCTGAGTCAGGATTGGCTATGGAGTGACCACTGCTTGCAAAACAGATGCAGGACCATCAGGAAGGACCCTTCCTAGCCTAACTCCCCTAGATATTGTCCATCTTACCCATAGGATCCTGTCCCTGGGGAGGCAATGCCTGTGGTGACACACGAGCACACAGATTAGCTAACCCAGAGTGGCTTGAGATGGGGACTTGCAGCTCCTCTGCCCATAAGCACTTCAAGGTTCATTTTGCTGGGAGAGAGAAGAGGTGAAAACATCACCCACTTATATACTCTGAGACACTGTTCCAGGCACTTTCAGGTAATAACTGGTTTAGTCCTGCAACAACCCCACACAGCAGTTACTCTGACTAGCTCATGAGACATATGAGGAAACTGAGGTGCAGACAGCAAGGGCCTTGCTGAGGTCACACATGTGGTAAGTTCTGGAGCTGGGCCTGCTTTTCAGGACTGCAGGTGCTGTGGGGTGTTTGGGATAGGATAAAACTAATCTAGAGACCCTGGGGGTAGTAAAGTGCTCAGGTATGCAGACTGGGAAACTGGAGGCCTGAGATGTCAGGGGCCTGATAAATGAGTTCTCACCCTAGAGGACCCTTGAGAGTCTAATAAACCCATGGCTTGCCTCCCCAAAGTAGTTGGGTAGTTCCCCAGTCTCTCTTTTTCTCTCTCATACACATTCACACAAAGACACACATATCCCCAAAAGTGAATTTCCCAGGCAGTAATTTCATAGATCCCTTCAAGCAATATTGTGTTTTTGGCTTCTGTCTTCCTGGACAGATGCAGAATCCACAACACCTTACAGAGAATGCAGTCCATTCCTGTCAATAGGCCACAGTGATGCCAAAGAGAAGGCTACCTTGTTCTTGGCTCATTTTGTCCACAAGGGGTCACCGATGGGTCCTGGCCTGACTCTTGGTTGACCCACCTGTACAGAAGCCACGAGGGCAATCTTACTCATTCAGGTGGTGTTTTTCAGAGGGGCAGATGTTTTAAAATTTACAGCCTCTCACAAATGGAACCCAAATTCCCCTCCCAGCTTTTTCTAACCATCTGAGGTCCACCAAAGACACAGCCCAGCTCAATTCTTCCCTGATGATCTAATGGCAATGCACCCCAGCCCAGTCCTAGCCCCAGTTCACATATCTGTAAGTGGGATCACTCTTCTCTCCCACAGATTGGGGACCTTGTAAGTACTGATCAGCCATTTGGTCTGAGCTTGACAGAACACGGGTTTGAGGATACACCTTTTGATGGCATCTTGGGCTTGAGTTACCCTGACATATCCCTCACTGGAGGCATCCCCATCTTTGACAACCTGAAGAAACAAGGTGCCATTTCTGAGCCTGTTTTTGCCTTCTACTTGGGCAAGTAAGTCTGAGATGGACAATCCTTTTCTCCAAATTAACTGTCAGGTGCTTTCAGTTCCATGAAAATTATAGAACACTTGATAAAGAAGTATCCTGAGAGATAATCTAACCCAGGATAACTATGGCCCCATGGCCCTACTTGGCTTCACCAGTGGCTTTTATGAATAAAGTTTTATTGGAACACAACCCTGCTCCTGGGCTCAAGACAAGTAACTTGGTTTAGTGGGGTGAGTGAGGAGAAAGGCTAATGGAAGGCAACAGGAAACAAGTTGGAGGAAATGGCAATAGGATTTGCTTATGAATTTGATAAGGAAGGAAGGAGAAGGATGGTGGATATCTTTCCTTCCTCATTAGCATTTCACTGGTAACCCAGGTCCAGCTACCCAATTTGCAGGAGCCAGTGAAAAATGAAAATGTGGGACACAAAACAAACTTGTGGGACACCTTGTTCAAGAAGTATTAGTCATTTTATGACAGGGAGAACAGAGGTGGGTTCCCTTCTGATTGTGGGGCCGTTTGGACAGTAGAGATCACAGGCCAGCAGAGCCAACTCTGGGTGACCTAAACCCACACAGTTAGCACTCCCAGGCCTTGATTTTCCTGAATAATGACAAGCTAGACAAGGGGAAAGTCAAAACGCTACAGCACCCTGTCCTCTGAGGGTGTCTGAGCAATCATGTCAGAGGAGGTCCAGGGCATCTTCAGAAGATATAGTGGGTGGAGCCCAGCCAGGTGACTCAGCTTCTAACCTCCTCTGTGCCACTCATTAGCGAGTAACCGACCTCAGTCTATTTCTCAATCACTCCTAGCCTCGACTTCTGCATCTGTAAATGGGAACCTTATTAGGGCCTTGATGGGTAGACAAGCACAGCTCTCAGACAGTGCTGTTGTTACCATCCTCCAAAGATCCCCTCCTCTCTTCTCTCTATACATGCAGGACAAAGGGAAGTGTGGTGATGTTTGGTGGGGTGGACCACCGCTACTACAAGGGAGAGCTCAACTGGGTACCATTGACCCAAGCGGGTGACTGGCGTATACACATGGACCGGTAAGCCTCTCCCTCTGTGGGTCAGCCCAAGGGATGCTCCAAATCTGTACATGGACACAGGCAGACACTCACAAATGGATTCTCAGACACATAGTCACACAAACATATACACCATCCACAATGACACAGACAGACACACAGACACATGGAAACACACAAACAGGCACATATACACAGAGACACATATAACCATGCATACCTCATCAACGACACACAAGCACAAATAGAGACACATACAAACACACATACAAACAAACACACAAGGACATAGATACACAAACAGCCCATGAGTTCATAATCACCCCAGGCCTCCTGACCAGGGCTCTGACCAGGGTCCTCACAGGGTCCAGAGAGGTCTGTGAAGCTGGGAGAGCCTTGCACCCACTGACTTGTGAGGCGGGGAGCACGGTCAGAGGACTCTACAGTGTGGTGAACAGGATCAGGGAGGATTTCACCAGCCTGGACAGCATTATAAGATGACCAACTGTCCATGGCTATGTGGGACCAAGAAAGTTCTCAGTACAGATAAATGTCACTTTAAAAACAGGGACAGTCCTGAGAAAATGGGGGAAACTGGCCTCCTTATGGAGAAGCTACCCAACAGTGGAGAGAGATTGGCTGCAGTCTTAAGACATGCAAGCAACTAATAAAAAGACAGCCCACATCCCTGGGCACAGAGTGGGGCAGGGGCTATATCTGAGAGAATCAGAAAGGTGGGATCCAGGAGTGACCTGAGGACAAGAGACAATAACTGATAGGGTTCTGTGTGATACCCTCAGACAAAAGCTGACCTCTCCTTTGGAGTTTCCATGGGCTAGACATGTATTTCCTGGCGAGGGTCTCAGGGTCTGAGCTGGTTGTAGGAGCAGTGATGGGAGACACCCTCTCACAGAGGAGCCCCTCTCTCCCCCTACTATGAGAATCTGCTGCCCCCATGAACCTCCATCTTCAGTTCTGTGGTTGACTCATTATTTGTTCCCCACCAGATACAACTCTCTGATGTTTCTCATTCATTATTTTCACAGTCTTCATTCACTCATTCAGCACACAAGCATTGTGCATCCACTGTGTGCCAGGCACTTTAGGGAGGCAATGAGAATAAAACTCACTCTCACATCTAAGAAGGCAGATGTACAATAAATGACTCATGCACATAGTGAATTGTCATTTTGGTACATGCTAGACATGAGGAAGGGTCTACAGAAAGTGACCAAGACAGGAGACTGATAAACACTGGGGGAAAGACTTCCCTCAAAACAATACAGTTAAGCTGGAATCTGGAAGATGAGAAGAAATTTGCTAGTCAGAGAGAAGGGGCTCTTCTAAGAAGGAATACCAGTTGTGTCAAGGTGCAAAAGAGCCTGATGTATTCAAGTACTGCATTCAAGGATGTCAATAAAGATGCCGTGTCTAGAGCAAAGTAAAACAAGGCAAAAGACAAAGAGATGTTTAGGAGACAGTCGGGAAGGGGGTCACTCTGGGGAGAATCAGAGTGACCTTGATGCCCGCTTTGTCACACTGTGTCTCAGCATCTCCATGAAAAGAAAGGTTATTGCTTGTTCTGGCGGCTGTGAGGCTCTTCTGGACACTGGGACATCACTGATCATTGGCCCAAGAAGACTGGTGAATAACATCCAGAAGCTCATTGGCGCCACACCACGGGCTTCCGAGGTGAAAGGTCATGCCCCAGGGTCACTCCCAGTCTCCACACCAACAAGGAACTCCAGGGCCAACCTCTCTCCCTCTCTCTTTAACAGCACTATGTTTCTTGTCTTGCGGTCAATATCCTGCCGTCTATTATCTTCACCATCAACGGCATCAACTACCCAGTGCCAGCTCGAGCCTACATCCTCAAGGTGAGGGGAGAACCCTAAGGGTTGGTTCTCAAATAGGAACTTGCAGGAACATTGGGCTGCTTCTGGGAGAAGAGTGCCTTCTTCAGGCTATGTCATACCATTGCAGCTGAGCCCCTGAGCCCCTGTGCCTGGGCCAGAGCCTGCCACAAGACCAACCTCTTGAAAGTACAGGGCACTCTGGGACATTGATCATCCTGAAATAAATGTGGAGATGCCACACCATGCTGGCATGGTGGGAATCACAAGGCGAGGGGAACACTAAGGTCCTCAGTCCTCAAACAGCTTCAGTTCAATCTGAACCCTCAGATGCAAGAATACGGAAAGTCAGCTCTAGCAGTCCCTAAATAGGCCATGTGACAGTGAGAATTCCTGGGACAGTCCCAGTGTGATGTCCCACCATAGGGATTAATAGTCTCCTTTACCTTCTCGAAGTTTTCCTGGTTTGGATGATAAATTACATGGTCACCCTAGTTCTCAGCTGCTTCTTCCCCTTGCTCTGGCCAGGTGCCCCCTTTGTGAGTTGGGATACCGACCCCTCTATGGGGAGGTTGGATGCTAAGGTGAATAAAGGGTGCACAGTCACTGCTCAGCCCCGGCATAGGGTGGAAGCTTCATGTCAGCTCCCTGTGAGAGTACATAGCAGGCTGATGGGCTCAAAGAAGGCTTTGAGGAACAGAGAGAATTTCAGGAATTCTAAAACAACAAACTCATGGAACCATATGGAGGGTTGCTTGGTTCTAGGCAACACTGCCATGGATTCCATGCAAATGGCATCCCAAGGTGCTCTGCATTGGATCACTGGGGCCTTACTAGGGGTGATGAGGGCTATGGAATGACCGGTAGGGATGGGGAACCAGAGTAAGTTACCCAACCAAGCCTGGAGTGGCCAAAGAGGGTGGGTGTTGGCTGAAGGAGGCTTCCCAGAGTTCCTGAGATAAGTCTTCAAGATCTTGTTGTGGGCACTGTTATATTCAAGATGGATAACCAACAATGAGCTACTGTGTAGCACAGGGAATTCCGCTCAGTTATATGACAGCCTGGATGGGAGGGGTATCTCTGGGACCAGGATATATGGATACATGAGGTTGAGTCTCTTTACTGTCCACCTGAAACTCAGAATATTGTTAATCAGTTATACTCTAATAAAAAATAAAGTTTTTTAATAAAGTACGGATTGTGGGGATGCAGGAGGAGAACCAGCATTCTCTATAGAGAAAACAAGGAGCAGGAGTCAGAAGGAAAGAAACAAGGAGTGAGGAGAACCAGGGGACACTCTTGTTCTTTTCTCAAAATTGTATTGAAGTGTGGCTGATCTTCAGTGTCGCCTCAAGTTCTGCTGCACATTAATGTGACTCAGTTATACACATAAAAATTATATATTCTTTTTTTTATTCATTTTCATGTGGTTTATCACTGTATATTGGATATAGTTCCTTACTCTCTACATTAGCACTTTGTCTTTTATCATTCCTCTGTATCCCCAACTCCCAGTCCTCCCCTCCCCCACACCCTTCCTCATGGCAACCTCCTATCTTGGCCCTTTTTGGTTTTGAATGAACTTTCATATCCCCTGCTGCTGAGAAAAATCCCTTGATACTTACCAAAAGAGGGAAATAAAACCAAGAATTGTGCTGGGTCTGGATATTGGTGGGAGTCTCAGGTAAGACCTTAGGCTGACTGGTGTGTGTCTCTGGCTCCCCCAGGATTCTAGAGGCCACTGCTACACTGCCTTTAAAGAGAACACAGTGAGATCTACAGAGACCTGGATCCTGGGTGACGTCTTCCTGAGGCTGTATTTCTCAGTGTATGATCAAGGAAATGACAGGATTGGCCTGGCAAAGGCATCATAAATGCTTGGAGTGGTTCAGGAATCAGTAAGGACACTCCTAACCACACTCTCACGCTTAGGGCACTCCTGCCCAGGATGCTGGTGAACTGTATTTGGTGGTCTGCAAATCATATTCTCAGTAAAGAATAAAGGGTTTCACTCTTGATGGTGCTGTGAAACAAATGGGTGCCTATGTTTGAGTCTGGGAGGTGTACAATGATCAGGAAAGAACTAGAACAAAGTCTGAATCACAGTTGAGAGGAGACCACTCCAACTGGATTTATGGAAAGTGGAGACTCATTGAAATGATTCTGGGAATCCAGGACACAAGAATCAGAGCAAATAAAAAATCTCAGTGACTGGAACCAAGAAATTAAAAGTCATCAGTTCTCTCTTTTTCACCCTCAGTCTTTCCCTTCCCTCCTCTTTGATGGTCCTAGCCTGACAACTTTCTTCTTTAAGGCTTCTACACCTAGTGAGGTAGTCCAAGCTACCTGCCTTGAATTTTATATCCCGAAGGCATCACCTAGTAAGGAAAGAAGCACCAGCCCCAGATCAGCCATCCAACAGGGCCATGGGGTCCTATGACTGGTTTTACATGGTCATTGGCCCTGACCCAGCAGCACACATGATTCTCAGTTTCCTCCAGAACTACATGACTGAAGCTGGGGAGAGGCAGCCCCAAGGATAGCGACTGGGGGATGGTCTAGGCCATGGGAGAGTTCGTGATGACACACAAACTCCACCACCTCCTCATTCAGGGGAATTCTAAGTGGTAATGAAATAGACTCTCTCTGTCACATCTCAGATGATATTATCACTGGGCTTGTCCTCCAGGGGAGTTTGGGAGAAGTACTTCATGCAGAGCTGGTTCCGTCTAGTTCCCACACCCCAGTCACCAGCTCTCTGCCACATACGCCTGCTCTGTCCTTTCCAGTCCTACTTGGTAAGTGTTGGCCCCAGTGGATGGCTGAGCCATCCCCCTCCTCCATGTCCCAGGATGCCCCTTCCTTGGCCTCCAATGCTGCTGGGGAGAATTCAGTGCATGTATGGGGGACCCAGGGTACACAGAGCCTTCAGCCTTTATGAGCTTCCTCCAGGGGTGGAGCTACAAACTCTTTGCTTGGAGCTGCCATGTTTAGGCACTTTTGCAGTGGAAGCATCAGTTCTTTTCACCTGGAGTCCCTCAGTAGATGCCTCAGCTGAGACAGGAGGGGTCAGAGGTTGATTTCCTTTCAGATTGACTGGTTTGCTCTCCATATTCTATAAGGAACTCTCAAGAATCTTCTCAAGCACCACAGTTCAAAAGCCCAATTGTTTGGCATTCACCCTTTCTTATGGTCCAGATCGCACATCTGTACATAATTACTGGAAAAATCATATCTTTGACACTACAGACTTCTGTAGCAAAGTGAGTCTCTGCTTTTATTACACTGTCCAGGTTTTTCATAGCCATTCTTCCTTCCAAGGAGCAAATGTTTTTTTAATTCTGTGGCTGCAGTCAAGGTCCATAGTGATTTTGGAGCCCAAGAAAATAAAATCTGCCACTGTTTCCACTTTTCCCTCATCTATATGCCATGAATGGTGGGACTGGATTCTATGAATATTGAGGGGTTTTTTTGTGAACAGTTTTTTGAATGTTGCTTTTTAAGTCAGGTTTTGCATCTCCTCTCCTCATCAAGAGGTTCTTTAGTTCCTCTTTGCTTTCTCTTTTAGGATGGTGTCATCTTCATATCTGTGGATGTTGATATTTTTCCCAGCAATCTTGATAGCATCTTGGGATTCATCCAGTTCCACATATTGAATGATGTATCCTACATATAAGTTCAATAACCAGAGTGACAATGTATTCCTTGTCATGCTCCTTTCCCAATTTTAAATCTTTCAGTTTCTCATGTCTGATTCTAATTGCCACTTTTTGACCTACACACAAACTTTCAGGATACAGATAAGGTGATCTGGTACTCCCATTTCCTTAAGGATTTTCCACAGTTTATTGTGCTCCACATACTGAAAGGCTTTAGCAGTCAATGAAGCAGATGTAGATGTTTTTCTGGAATTCCCTTGCTTTCTCTATGATTCAGTGCATGATGGCAGTTTGGTCTCTGGTTCCTCAAACCAGTTTGTACATCTGAACATTCTCAGTTCATCTACTGTTGAAGCTTAGCTTGAAGGATTTCGAGAATTACCTTGCTAGCAAGTGAGATGAGTGCAATTGCATGATAGGTTGAACATTCTTTGAAATTGCCTTTCTTTTCGATTGGTTGAAAACTGACCTTTTCTTGCACTGTGGCCACTGCTGAGTTTTCCAAGTTGCTGACATATTGAATTCAGCAGTTTTACAGCCTCATTCTTTAGGATGTTTTAAACAGCTTAGCTGGAATTCCATCACCTCCACTAGCTTTGTTTGTAGTGATGCTTCCTAAAGCCCACTTGACTTCTTGCTCCAAGATATATGGCTTTACATGAGTGACCCCAGCATCATCCCTATCCTGGTCTTTATGACCGTTTTTGTACAGTTCTTCTCTGCATTCTTGCCACCTCTTCTTAATCTCATCTGCTTCTGGTAGGTCTTTGACTTTTCTTTCCTTTATTGTGCCCATCTTTGAATAAAGTGTTCCTATGTTATCTCCAACTTTCCTGAAGAGATCTATACTCTTTACAATTCTATTATTTTCCTCTAATTCTTGCACTGTTCACTTACAAAGACTTTCTTATCTCTCCTTGCTTTTCTCTGGAAGTCTACATTCCACTGGGTGTATCTTTGTCTTTCTCTTTTGGCATTCACTTCTCTTATTTCTCAGCTGTTTTTAAGGCCTTCTCAGGCAACCACTTTGCCTTCTCACATTTGTTTTTCTTGGGGATGGTTTTGGTGACCGTCTCCCATACAATGTTACAAACTTCCATCCATAGTTCTTCAGACTACCAGACCTAATCCCTTGAATCTATTTTTCATCTCCACTGTAAAATTATATGGGATTTGATTTAAGTCAGAGCTGAATGTTCTAGTGGTTTTCTATACTTCCTTCAATTTATGCCTGAATATTCCTTTCTTCTGCCTAAGCATTGGTGCCAGATTACCACCCACCACTCCCAGTGGGTGTGGAGTAAAAACACACAATTTGAGGACTGTTGCCCTGGATTTGTGCTTGGTTTTTCATGTACATAGGTGTGTGGCCTTGATCAAGTCCCTTAAGCTCAGTTTTCTCATTTGGAAAATGGGCACCATGATGATAATTCCACCTTCTAGATTGCATGTGTGCCTGCTAAGAACAAGTGGCCCTGAATGGGCTTTCTGGGTACATGAGTCTGGACAAATATGAATTATTCTCCTACCTGGGGAGAAGGAAATCTTCTGTTTAGAGGTTATGGCTGCAATCCCCAAGGCTAAATATTGCTTCAAGCCAAATGACATCTATTTCTGAACCATGACACAGAACTCTAACTGATCTGTTGCTTCTGGTTTCTAGGTTCCAACAAGAGCTAATGATTACTGGCTCAAATTACTCCCTTCTCAGCCTTACCAGTCATCCCTTCCTTGTCAACTACTTCTAGCCTGGAATTACACTGCAAGCAGAGTTGTAAGGCTTTGGTCTCTTGTTGGTTTCCCATATCTCCAGCATAGCAACAAGTATCTGTTATGGCTACTTGTCATAGCAACAACTATGGCAATCTGTACAGTCCAATCTCACCCTGTTAAATGAAACTGTCCCCATTTGGCCCCTCATGATTAAAATGCCTATAGTTGCCTTAGTAACCTTCCTCTGCCTGCTGTTTAACAAGGAAATATGTGTGGACCTCATCTAGTTTTCTTTCCAAAGCATGATTCCATCCATGAAATGAAGTAACCAGACATTGAGTCATCTAACTACTCACAGGAATTGACAAAAGCAAACCACCCATTGTGCATTTCTTGCTTATGTCAAAACATTGAAGTGATCTGCTGCAACAATCTGATACATTGGCATGTACACATCGGATGGGACACTTTATCTCTGAATTCGCTTTCCACCTAGTGCAGAATGTCTGCCACGAGCCTGCCCCTCCAGCAGCTGGTCACCTAGTTTTTGCAGACTCAGTCCACTCTAGTTCCCTTCCATATCCCTCAGTAAAACCTAGAGGACAAACTCAGTCAAAGCTCTCACTCCTGCAGAAAAGAGTTTTCTGCTTTTTAGAAAGCAATCTTTGGTAACACATTCAAAATTTTGTGCTGATTGCCTTGGATTCAAGGACCTGTACCAGAGGATGAGAAGCCTCCCCTTCCACCTAAATCTTTCTCCACTTCCACCAGGGCCAGAGGCTTCACTGGAACCTCTGTTCTCTTTGGTATTATTCAGTTGCTAACTCATGTCTGACTCTTTGTGATTGTATGTATGGCAACATAACAGGCTTCCCTGTCTTTCACTATTTTGCGGAATTTCCTCAAACTCATGTCCATTGAGTTGGAGATGCCATCTCACCATCTCATCTATTTGACCCCTTTCCATCTGCCCACAATCCTTCCCAGCATCAGGGTCTCTTCCAATGAGCTGGCTCTTCACATAGGATGGCCTAAGTGTTGGAGTTTCATCTTCAGCATTAATCCTTCCACTGAATATTACTCTACCACTTCCAAAACAAAACTCATGTTTCCAATCACCGAACAATATTGAGCATTAATAAAGTTTAATAGAACAGGGATCTTGTCCTCTGAGAAATCTCGGCACTGCTTCCGTGCCTTTCTCTTACCATTCTCTCCACCTGGCAAAGAATTGCTTCCCTACAGCTTCTCCAGCTTGAAATGGCCTGCCGACCCATCATAGTCAGCTATATAGGAATTGTTCCTTCCTTCTTCCCTAAAGACTTCTGCCTGCTCCCTGATTGTCCTCTGTACATCAGTTCAATTCAGTCTCTCAGTCATGTCCAACTCTTTGCTATACCATGGGGTCCAGCATGCCAGGCTTCCCTGTACATCACCAACTGCCACAACTTCCTCAAACTCATGTTCATCAAATTGGTGATGCCACCCAACAATTTCATCTT